GGACTGCGGCCTGGCGTTGCGGGCCCGGGCTGCGGGCGAGCGCGGGCTGGCGGCCCCTGATCCGGACCTGGAGAGGGCCGCATCCCTCGCCGAGCGCCTGACCTCTGACACCGAATTCGTGGGAACCGTGGGGGCCTTGGCGAGGCTGCGGCACGGCTCCCGCCTTGGAAATCGGCGAGTCCCCGGGAGGAAGGCCTCAGATATTCGGAGCGCCGCGGGGAGGGGACCTCAGGCCACAGTCAGTGGGAAACCAAAGATGGGCTCCGCGGGGCCATGTGTCGCTGTCCCAGTGGGGGAGGAAAGGAAGGTGGCAGAGAAGCATGCTGGGTCAGGGTCCTCCGTGACAGTAGGCAGCATGGATACCCTGGAGACGGTCCAGCTAAAGCTGGAGACCATGAATGCACAGGCCGACAGGGCCTATCTCAGGCTCTCTCGCAAGTTTGGCCAGTTGCGACTTCACCATTTAGAGCGCCGTAACCTCCTTATCCAGAGCATCCCTGGCTTCTGGGGGCAAGCTTTTCAGAATCATCCCCAGCTGTCATCTTTTCTGAATACCAAAGATAAGGAGGTATTGACCTACTTGAACCGACTGGAGGTGGAAGAGCTTGGTCTTGCTAGACTGGGCTACAAAATCAAGTTCTACTTTGGCCGAAACCCCTATTTCCAAAATAAGGTGCTCGTCAAGGAATATGGGTGTGGGCCCTCCGGTCAAGTGGTGTCTCGCTCAGCTCCAATCCAGTGGCTCCCAGGTCATGATCTACAGTCCCTAAGCAAGGAAAACCCAGAAAATAATGGTAGCTTCTTTGGGTGGTTTTCAAATCACGGCTCTATTGAGTCTGACAAGATTGTTGAGATAATCAACGAGGACCTGTGGCCCAATCCTCTACAGTACTACCTAATCAGCGAAGAAGCCCGGGGAGAGAAAGGAAAGGAAGAAAGGCCAGGTCCAGCAAAGCAGCCAGCAGAGATGGCTGAGCCTAGGGTGAAGCAGCCCAAGTGATGTTGCAGAGATCTCCCTCCTACCTCCTGCTGTTAGGTTGGCCACGTGGGCTTGGTTGTCAGCCTGGTGTTCATGCCATCTCATAAGATGTACACGGTAGCCATCTTGAACTTTTCAAGAATGTGGCGTTTGTGATCACGCTCCTTGCTTCCCCATGGCCTCACCTTGACACGAGAGTCACATGGTGTGTGATCTCACGCTCACTGCTTGCATATTAAGCACTTAAGATGTATACAGCTTTACATGACCCAGTCCCCGTTCTTAGCGCTGGTCCTCCCCACCTGTCTTTCATGTGGACATTCTGAGTCATCGTCCAGACGGATACTCAAGCAACGGCTACTTCGTGACCAGTCAGCGGGGCTTTGTCTTCATTTTAGCCATGCATGTTATCAATGGCAAGATTCTCTGTTGACATCACAAGATGAAGCCAGTGCACATGGCATTGGCCATCAGCCACAATTTATCTGTGGGTCTGGGGACAGTAACCAAGGCTCTTCCTATTTTATCTCCAGCTTCAGCCTAGGGTCCAGCAGACTACTGGGTGTGGATGAGGTCAAGGGCAAGCAGGAGTCAGTTTTGTTTTCTTCACTTCACACATCTCTTCTTGCCTCTGGGCCACTCTACTAGTGAACCTTCATCAGAGTCTGACCATGCCTGTTTGCAGTCAGCCCTTTGACTATTGGCTACATCAGCCCTTTGACTATTGGCTACGTCAGCCCTTTGACTGTTGGCTTCTGGCTCCAACTGACTTGTTCATGAAAGACCTCAAGAACTGCCTATCGACCCAGGCACCCTCCTCCCAGTGCATGAGCTACAAACCTACTCTCTCCAGACTTTAGGAACCCTCTTGGTGGGCAACCTGGTATTTGTGAGCATATGCTTGTTGCTGTCATGTTGTGAGCCCTGAGGACGGTAGGGCTTTGGACCACAGCATTATCAACTAGGAATCTGTGTCAACTTTCCTTATTCTCTGCTAAGATGGGACAAGAATACTTTAATGGAAGGCTAGGAAGAGAGATTTTTCATTTGTATGCCTGTGTTTGCTTCATACCCCCATGCAACTTAGTCTTCTTCCCTATCTACCTACCTCCTGACCCTCCTACTCTCTTCATCCCCCCACAACCCCTGCCACCCACATTTAAAATAGTATCACAAAGCTCAGACAAAGAACATCATCAACCAGGCTTTATACAGCTAGGGAGGTAGGTAGGGGCTTTCTCTGCACCCTCATGTTGTAAGCTAAGATAGGATAAAGAAAAACCAGAAGGCCTCAAGAGGGTCTATGGTCAGATCTGGGTCCTGATCCTGGACTCACTCTGTGCTCTAAAGTTGTATACATCTGCTAGAATTAGAAACCCTAAGGCAGCAGTGTTGTGGTCTCCAGTTTTGTCTTCTGTGTGTTTCTTTTCCTAATGTCTCCATTGGTGGCCTGTGCAGCTGGGATCCTCAGCCCCCCAGCTTTCCCACTCAACAGTCCTTGGCTGCCTTTGCTTCTTAGTGCAAATATACTCACTATGGGGGAATCCCTAGGTGTTCCCAGGAACAGGCACAGGCGGAACCTGTTCTGGACATTTCTGGTAAGTGTACAGACTAAGCTGGGCTTCTTCTGTCCAGGCTTGCCTGTGTCCTGACTTGCCTTGTGTGTAGAGTTCTCTCAGCCAGTCCTTCCTCAAAGCCACATTATGCTCTGAAGGACTTAATCCTAACCTCTGCAAGGGGTCCTTGACTCAGTGGTCAGGGGATGATAGGCAGGGAAATCAGGCCAAGAACATGGAATAGGTATGAGCCTGGTATGGAGTGGACCAGAAGAAACTTGGCTGCAGAGTAGTCTCAGCGGTGGAGGTGACAGGAGAGACCTTACTCAGGGTTGGGAAGGGAGAACTAGAGGGGTTGTTAGTAAGTATGACACCTGGGCAAGGATGGACCCAGAGTTCTGGACAATCTTTATCATCATTAGTGAGGTTTTTTTCCTTTTTGTAGTCACAGAAAGAAACCAAAAACAATGTTACTGTGTTGGATGTTTTCCTGTTCCAGGTGCAGCCTTGTATGTGTGGAAGATGACGCTATATGCTATGTATTTAGCCTCTAAGTAAAATCTTACCACTTTCTGTAGTTTTGCCTAATGTGGAAAATAGAGCTGTACAAATTTGCTTTAAAATACTGTTTGCTCCTTGTTATGTAAATTTCTATAAACAGGTGTAGAGGAAGTGGTCCTTGGACCCTGTGTGCCTTCTGTCTCGCAGCATCCAACATCAGCTATGAGCAACCGAGCTTCACCTGTAGCTCCTCTTCCTCCTGCATTGTTTATTGAAGTCCAAGGTACTAAGCCTATGCAGTCAGATGCACTTTGGGAGATTGGGACTCTGGTGTTGATAGTTGCGGGGTGCACTCTGATGATCACAGCAAGACGGCTTCTGTCCATTTTGTGTAAATTAATGATTTTCCACAAGTGGGCCTCATAAGTGTGTCTTCAAAATTAGTGTAACTCAAAGGTGTTGAGGATATTCTGCTGTCCCCCACATCAGCAAAGGAAGAGGCCACTTGGTTGTAAATCCGTCTAAGACTGTGATATAAGGTACCCTTTACAATGTCAGTCTGTCCTGCTGTTAACATAGACACTTGTATGAACTGTTATGATTGCTGTGTTCTGTGAAATTAATCTCTCCAACATAATCTTTTACTGGTTGTTGTAGTTGATATTTGATACCCTGGTAATAATGCGATTATTTCCCTATTCCTAAGCAGCATAAATATTTGCAAGTGTGCATGTATGGTGGAAAAATAGTAATAAAATTCTTGTGTTACTGTTCTATTTCATGTTGCAGAATCACAATTGTCCTTACACAGGACACACAAACGCCTGCTTCTCAGGCCCTGCCCTTCCCAGAGACTAATATTTTGTGTGGCTCTGGAGGAAGCCAACTAGTCTTGTTTATGATGAGTTTTCCAGGTTCTCCTCATGGGAATTTAGTGTTTCTAACATCTTGTCGTGAATTTGAATTATGTGGGGGAATCCTGTTAAGTGGGATTTGATTTAGTAGTCAGGCAGAGCCAGGAGCTTTCAGGGGATGAATTGCTGGTGACGCGTGGAAGCGGGGGTGACCTTAGAGGCCCTTCAAAGAACTAATAAAAAATGAGGAAAAAAAGTATTTTTTTTGAAGATGTCTTTGAAACTAGAGTAATGGTGTTCAACCCTGGTTGCATGTTATAATTAACTGGGAACTTTAAAGAAATACCTGCCCTAGCTTCACACAATGACCAACTCAGTGAGAATGAGGAAAGAGATTAACCCAGCCACAAGTAACTCCCAAAGCTTACCAGCATAGCATCTTGAGAGTAGGTTCTGCTCATTTCACACCCAGAAAAAAAGATTGTTCCCATCAGGAGAAGCCATCTTCCGAGATGACCAAACACCATAGAAAGTTGTTAGGAAAAGGGATGGGTTCTAACTGACAAGGAAACAGCACCGGGGCCTGGCATAATGGCTTTCTGGGCAAAGGTTCTTGCTATGCCTAAGACCAGAGTTTAATCCATCATATAGGTGAAGGAGAGAACCAGCTCCATCAAAGTGACTATCCCATGCATGCCATGGCATGCCCATCCCCCCACAGTAAATAAAATTGTGATAAAAAGATAGGCTTATATGATGAAGATGATGAGCAAATAAATATGCAGCGTTTGAGGCAAAAGAAGTGCTCCAGTGTTGGATGAACAAATACATTTGTTCTCGGTTTATATTCAGATGCTCCAGAGTTAGTTGAGTAAATATATTAAATGTGTTGATTGTCTCTCCCTCCTTCCCGCCCCCCCCCCCCCCCCCCCCCCCTGCTTCCTTGAACAACAAATTTGGCCCCAAATTTACTGCTTCCTCAGGGGCTCATTCATCTATTGCTGCCGGTTTGGAGACCTCAGAGACACAGTTGTTAACAAATACAACCCCAGTTCTTCTGGGTATACATTAGTTTTGTTCCTGAACAAAGTACCACAGACTAGGGACTACAAAACTATGGAAATTAGTTCTTCAGTTCTGAAGGCCAGAAGTCCAAGATTGAGGGATTGCCATGGTGATTGATTCCTTCTGAGGGCATCTCTCTTGGCTACAGACAGATCTGTGTACTCACATGGTCTTTTCTTGGTGCATGCCTTGGAACCTCCTCCTAGGAAGCAGGCCATTCATAACTGGGATCCCCTGAGGGGCTTTCACTTCCCCTTCTATTTTAAAAACCTGGTCTCTAAATATAGCCTGAGGTGTGGAAGGTTAAGTCTTCTGTTGGACAATGTACAGTCTTTGCATAGTCTCCAAGGCTTATCACGTTCCGGGGACTTTTATAGTAACCTTATGGGTATTAATTTCATTCTTTCCATAGTCCTATAAAGTACTTGACAAGTAATTGGGATAAAAAGATGCTAAAAAAATCATCTGGGTCAGATTCCAGTATTAAGTTTGGGAAGTCTGGTTGAAGAATGCACCCCAGTTCTTACAGTCCCTAACACTAAGTCAGTTACCAAAATAGTTGTCACGTACTTTCAACTATTTATAGGAACAAACTTGGGCACACAAATATTTTCTACTATAAGACTAGCAACCTGACCTGATGCTCAGAGACCCTGTGAAATGAGGAGCTGATGCCTGGGTAGGAAGTTGTTCAGACTGTATGTATGTTAGGGGCAACAACTCCGGGACTCCAGAGTTTATTTAGCACCATGAAGGCCTCATGTAGATATGTCTCCAAAGAGTGGGCAATAGGACCTTTATGCATATTTCCTGAACTTGAATATTTTTTAGTAAGTAAAAAACTCATTTGTTTGTGTGTATGTATGGGTGTGAGTATACCACAGCAGGTGAGGGGGTCAGAAGACAGCTCACCAACATCAGTTCCCTCCCCCCACCAGGGCATCCTGGGGCTTGAGCCCAGGTTGTCGGGCTTGGTGGCAGGTGTCCTTGCCCTCTCAGCCATCTCGCCAGCCCTAATGTTTTAAAGCCAGATATTTTTCTTTAAATTTTTAGAAATTAGCACATAAAATATTAGATGTCATTATGGCATTTTGAAAAGAGTGTGTTTTAATCGATTCTCCTCCAGTCTCACCTTCCCACCTGACCCTCCAATTTTTCTGGTAAGTCCCTCAGTCTCGTTTCCTCTTAACACCACATCTGTCCTCTTGCTCCCCTTCAGCACCTGTTCTTATTCTCTCATGGTCTCCAATCTAGATTTTTAGGCTTTACCCATATTTTCACTCATCACTACACACACATGTGTACAAGCCAGGATTCACACATCAGAAAGAACTTCATAGGTTTTGTTTTTATGAGTCTGGGTTATCTTGCATAACATACTTTTCAGATCCATCTATTTTCCTGAAAATTCCAATTTTCCTATGGTTGAATAAAATTCCACTGTGTATTTGTACCAAATCTTCACTATCCACTCATCTGTGGATGTACATCCAGACTGCTTTCCTTCTGCTCTTGTTAACAAAGTAGCAATCAACACAGATCTCTAAGTGTCCTCAAGTTTTTATACAGACTGATATGTAGATTGTAGATTGATAACTGCTTGTTTATTTTCCGGAAGGAGCCTCTGGGGAAGATTTATGCAGTGTCTTTCTGGCATTCCAGTTGAGTTCCATCTAACTAAGCTTTGTTCTTGCATAGGTGCAGAGCCTATAATTTCCAGCTGGCCCACTTGAAACACTCTATCAGTCAATTTTCTGTTACTATAGTGGATTATTTGAGGCTGGATACTTTTCTTAAGAGAAAAGGTTTGCTGCTAACAGGTTTAGAGGCTGACAGCCCAACCAACATGATACTAGCTTTGGTGCAGCCTCTGCTGTCTGCTTCTTATTATGGCAGCTGATATCATGATAGGGAGACATGATAGGGAGAAATCACATGATAAAACAAGTAGCTAGGGCTTGTCAGGAACCACATGTATCACAACTCTTGTAAGAACTAAGCAGGGAACTATCTTAATTCCTTCCCAAAGTAGACCCCACATTTTAAAGGTCCTATCTCCTCAACATTGTCACTATGAACACAAAGTTTCCACTGCAGGAAAAAGAAACTGTGTTCAGACCATAGCACCTCTCTTCCTGCCTCCCTCCCTCCCTCCCTCCCTCCCTCCCTCCCTCCCTCCCTCCCTCCCCCACTGCTTCCTTGAATAACAAATTTGACCCCAAATTTACTGCTTCCTCAGGGACTCATTCATCCATTGCTGCCTGTATGGAGACCTCAGAGACACAGTGGTCAACAAATACAACCCCAGTTCTTCTGGCTCCAGACCTCAGCTTTTCCCTGCTTTTACCCAGGACTGTGAGGTCTGTTTCCCAACCCCCTCTTTTTCCACATGAGGCTGGCAAGTGTTTTAGATCAATGTGCTAAGGAACGAGCTAAATAGCTTTCCTCACTCTTGTTCTTTAGGTAAAACTTCACAAAGTTCTCGGTTATTTCATAATCTGGGATGTGAGGGCCTTGTGGTCATTCTCATCATACTAAGTTCCTGGACCCCTTTCACGTTCAAGTTTTGTTACAAAATCCCTTTTTTGATTGGTCTCTTTCTCTCATCTATTATTATTAATTTTTTTTTGAGGCAGAGTCTTACTCTTTAGTCTAGTCTAGGCTAGCCTTTAACTCAAGGTGATCCTCCTGCCTTAACCTACTACTGAGTGCTGGCATTACATATGTGAGCCGCCATTCCTGGCTTCTCTTCTGATTTCTTAACTCATTATTTTTGGTGTGTGGTGGGTTTGTGCTATGCTGTGAAGGAAAGAAAAATAAACAACCATGCTACAAAACACATGAATCTATGGGGGTCATAACTATTCAAACAACCACAAAGCCCTTAGCAAAATTCAGGAGACCTAAATAAGGTCCTTTATACTAGAACCTTATTAGACTGACTATATAGACCTAAACCACTTCAAGGAAGTATAAACTCTCCAGTGTCTTTCATGGGAATAGAGTTCTTGGTGTGAACAAATAAGGAGATTAGGGGACCAGGGCTTGTTGACTGAAGTGTCTGTCCTTCCCGGTTCCTGCAGTCACTGAGTCCCAAAGAAATCACACAGAGGTCTACATTATAATCTGATTGGCCCATTAGTTCAGGCTTCTTATTAACTAATTCTTATAGCTTTCATTAGCCCATAATTCTTGTCTGTGTTAACCACGTGGCTTGGTACCTTTTTAGGTGAGGCAGTCACAACTTGCTTGCTTGTATCTGGTCTCCTCCGGGTCTGGGTGACTGGGTGATGACTGCTGACTGAAACTTCCCTCTTCCCAGAATTCTCATTGCCCCGCCTCTACTTTCTGCCTGGCTACTGGCCAATCAGCGTTTATTACAATACAAGTGACAGGGTATAGACCATTGTCCCACAGCAAGAGCTGAGAGGCAATTTTAAGCCACCTGTTGGTCCTTTCCTTCTGAGAAGCATGTGCAGACATTGAGGTTCAGCTTATATCTTCAAGCACTGCACACTGCCTTTCCTCCTAATGCTCCTAGTTATGCTAGACAAGAAGGGTCTAGCCTGGGCTACATATTTTACAGTTTATCTGTAGCCAGGTAACACCATTTCAGTTTGTATCTCCTACAGCATTTATTTTAAGGTTCATATAATATTTGGTGGCCAATAAATGTGGTTGAGTGAGAATAATAGGTACATCTAAAAATATTATGAGGTGAACTTGACTATGTTAGTTGCTTGTTCAAGTCCTTTGACAAAAAGGCCCAGAATCCTAATGTGCTCACAGTAAGTCCTCTATTATCTTACCTTGATTTTTTTTATTTCAAACATTTTAAATTAAAAATCTAAATATAT